ATATATATATATATACCCATGAGATATATATATATATATATGGGCTCACACATGCCATGGTGCTTGTGTAGCAGTCTGAGGACAACTTACATGAGTTGGTCTGCTCTTTTCATCATGTGGACCCTGAGGATTGAACTCAGGTAATCAGGTTTTGTGGCAATCACCTCTACTCCTTGAGCTATCTCTCAACACCCTCCCCCTTTAACATTTTATTATTTTAAAAAAAAAAAGCAACAACAACAACAGCAAAACCCAACAAAAATATCTCATGCAGCCAAGGATGGCTTTGAACTCTCCAAGTGGCTGAGGATGACTGAACTATTCCTTTTTCCTCTACCTTGTAGATACTGGAAGTTGTCATGCCTGGCTTCTCACCACAGAATTTAATAAAATATCTAAAGTAAAAGTGGTGGTGCGTGCTTACAGTGCAGGAACTCAAGACACGATGATTATGAGTTTGAGGCCAGCTCAGACTACTCAGGGTCTCATCAACAAATCAACCTTCAATTTTAATTTCCCCAGCTTGTTTCTTAAATTTCTTGAAACTGGGGTTGAAGACGGCTTAGTGGTTAAGAACACTGGATGGTCTTCTAAAGGATCTGAGTTTGATTCCCAGTACCCACATGGTGGCTCACAACCAAGTGTAACTCCTGTTTAAGGGATCCAACTCCCTCTTCTGGCTTTCACAGGAAAGTACATAGTACACAGACATACATGCACACAAAACGCATAAACATAAATAAATTTTAAAGTTTTTTTGAGGTGGGAGGTACTTTTAAATAACATTCTATTTTTTATAGCAACTACATTCAATTTTACAAAATTGTTCATTTAAGGTTTTGTTTTCTTGTTTTGTTGTTTGCAACAAGGTCTTATATAGCCCAAGCCGCCTCAGAGTTGCTAGGAAGCAAAGGATGGGCTTGAATTTTTTTTATACTATTGCCTTCTAAAAGGCAAGTGTTTTATACAGGCAAAGCAAACTTTATCTTTGATCTTTGATTTTCTGTGTAGGTATAGGGTACATCCCTGCAACAGAGCTCCATTGGTGTATGCACTTGCAGGTGTGTGTGTGTGTGTGTGTGAGAGAGAGAGAGAGAGAGAGAGAGAGAGAGAGAGAGAGAGAGAGAGAGAGAGAGAGAGAGAGATCAGAGTCTGACTTGTAGAGTCAATTCTCTCCTTCCACTCTGTGGGTCCCAGAGATAGAACTCAGGTTGTCAGGCTTTGCAGCAAGCTCCTTTATCCACTGAGAACCTCTTGTTGGCCCCACCCCCTACTGTACTTTATTGGTGGCAATAGTGCTTGCTTTTGAATCCTACCTGGAGGCTCATTTTTGTTGTCTGATTTTTAAGGCAGATTCTTTTTTTTTTTTTTTTTTTTTTTTTTTTTTTAAGGGAAATTTTTTTTTTTTTTTTTGGTTTTTCGAGACAGGGTTTCTCTGTGTAGCTTTGGTGCCTATCCTAGCACTCACTCTGGAGACCAGGCTGGCCTCGAACTCACAGAGATCTGCCTGCCTCTGCCTCCCGAGTGCTGGGATTAAAGGCATGCACCACCAATGCCCGGCTTAAGGCAGATTCTTAACTCTAAGACCCAAACTGGATTAGAACTCGCAGAAATTATTTTTCCTTAGTCTCCCAAATATTGAAATGGCAGGTGTGAGCCACCGTGCTTGGCTGCCTCTGAAAGCTGCCGTCTTACTACTTTTTTTCTCGCTCTGTGTTTGTCTGATTTGTTTGTGGGGTTTGCTGGTGCCACCCTGATCCATCACTTGACAGCCTTCCTATAGCTCTCCAGCCAACAGTTACTCGTAAAATGAAGAGCCCAAGACTGAGGAAATAGCAAAGAATGAAGATCTGAGTTTGGATTCCTAGATGAGGCCTGGCAGTTGTGATCCCAGCACTAGGCAGCTGAAGGCAGGAGGATGTAAGGGTCTTGCTGGTCAGTGTATCTATGAGTGAGCTCCAAGCTCAGTGAGACCTTGTCTCAAAAATGATATGGAGAGTGATTGAAGAGGACACCTGACATCCAGCTCTGGCCTCCACACTTGTGAACTCTCTCACATGAGCACAAATATAAGCAAATGTGCATGCACACATGCATGGACAAATGCGCACTCATTAAAATCCACTTGTGCGCGTACAGAAGTGTTCACATTAACATATTCACAGTGCAAAAACATAAACATGCATGCATACATACACCTGGTACACATGAACACATACACATAGATACACTCATGAGTGCACACATACTCACATGTGGACACATGAACACATACATATGTTATGTTTTACGTTACATCATTGGGCTACACCCCAGTTCATGTTTCATATGCTTTTGTTTGTTTAAGATTTATTCCTCCTGCATGTATGCCTGCAGGCCAGAAGAGGGCACCAGATCTCATTATAGATGATTATAAGTCATCATGTAGTTGCTGGGACTTGAACTCAGGACCTCTGGAAGAGCAGCCAGAGTGCTCTTAACCTCTGAGCCATCTCTCTAGTCCTCAGATTTTCTTTTAAGCAGGAAAACAGGCTATTACACTGTTCTGAAATTCCCTTTTATTTTTGAAAACGCTCTTTTGATATCCAATCCCAGCATCCCACCCTGTAACAAAGCTTCATTTGGAAACAATCCATACACAATCTAATCTCCTCATCTGTTGTTTTTGATGCTGGGGATAGAACTCAGGGTCTTATAAAGTTAAGCAATCCTTCCACCACCAAACTCAGCCCCTCCCTTTCCTATAGAAGTTTTTCAATTCAGTTGTTTTCAGTGTATTCTTAGATTTGTGCATCCACTGCTACAAGTTCAAGAACATTTTTATCACTCCACAAAAAACTACGCACCTGTTGTTGGCTGTTCTGCGATTCTTGCCCAGCTCCTGGGAATTGATAATTTGCTTTGTTTTCATGGATTTGCCTATTCTGGAGATTTCTGATAAATGTGGCCTTTATTTCAGCATTGTCTTCAAATTCAGCCACATTGTACTAGGTACAACATTCTGTTTTTTTTTTTTTTCCCCCTGCGGCTCAATGCTATTCCACTGTATGGATCTACCGTATTTTATTTATTTATTCATGTGTTCATGGGCATTTGTGGTGTTCTACTTTGTGGATATTATGAGCTTTCTAGGAACATTTATGACCACAGTTTTAGATGCATCGATGCATTCACTTATCTTACGAATGGAATTCTTGGAGCATGTCGTGGTTCTGTGTTTAAGCATCAGAGGACCCACCTTTTATTTTGTAGCACGCAGTTAAAGTTTAGGTATCTTCCAGCCAGGTGGTGGCAGTGCACACCTTTAACCCCCAGTACTTGGGAGGCAGAAGCAGATGGATTTCTGTGAGTCTGAGGCCAGCCTGGTCTACAGAGCGAGTTCCAGGATATCCAGGGCTACACAAACCAAAACCAAAAAGGGTTGACTGTCTTTCCATGTCAACACTTGCAGACAGACATCTTAAGCCCTAAGTGGTAGTTCACTGTAAGAAAATGTCCTGGTTTACTTATCTAGTCTCACTCTGGTAGGCATTTGTATGGTCTGGGTTTCATTATGAAATTCTCATGTCATCTTTTCCTGAAGGGCCTTAGGCTTATTGCCTTCTTTGATAATATAACCAATACTGCAGGGAACATTATTATTTGCTTTTTGTGAGAATGTTTTTCTGCACCCTTCATCCCTAAACGTGATGAGGTGAGGGCCTACTTGTCTCTCGGCTTTACTCTGAATCCATCTCTGCACTCTACAGGGGACCACCAGGCACCATGGCGCAGAAAGGACAACTCAGCGATGATGAGAAGTTCCTCTTTGTGGACAAAAACTTCATTAACAGCCCAATGGCCCAAGCCGACTGGGTGGCCAAGAAGCTGGTATGGGTCCCCTCAGAGAAGCAGGGCTTTGAGGCTGCCAGCATCAAGGAGGAGAAGGGTGATGAGGTGGTCGTGGAGCTGGTGGAAAATGGCAAGAAGGTCACAGTGGGCAAAGATGACATCCAAAAAATGAATCCACCCAAGTTCTCCAAGGTGGAAGACATGGCAGAGCTGACGTGCCTCAACGAGGCCTCTGTGCTGCACAACCTGAGGGAGCGATACTTCTCAGGCCTAATCTATGTGAGTATCTTGGGGTTATGGCCTCCTTTTAGCTTCCTTGTGGAAGAAAAGGGACTGGACATGTGTTTCTGGGTGCTGGATGTGGTACAGAGCTGTAACCGCAGCATTTGGGAGGTAAATGTGGAAGGTTGGGAGTTCAAAGCCAGCCTGGGCTGTCTCCAAAACACACAAAAGTGTTTGTTATGTGTTTATGTGCTGAGTTTTGACCCAGCACCCGTGTAAACAGTTGGGCATGGCAGCACATGTCTGTAACTCCCATGATGGGATGTACTGACACTAGGGCTTGCCAGTCAGCCAGGCTAGCTGAACTGATGAGTTCTTTAGTTAGTAAGAAACACCTTTTCAAAAAAAAAATAAGGCAGAGAACAAGTGATGAAGCCACCCATCATCAACCTCTGGCACGAACATACATTTCCATACACAAATATTGACACCCATGTGCTGTGACTGGCTATCACTGGTCCTTTGCTGTGTCCCTTGAATATCCTTCTGGAAAAGGATGCTCCCATGACCATAGCATCTTATTCCAGCCCTTCAGGGCATCCAACCTTTGACAATGCTACACAATATTGTCACTTACAGATGTGTTGGGCCAAGTTCATATCTATTCTGGGACTCACATGATCCATGGGCTGTAAGTTAGACACACCTTGCTACAGTTTGCTTCCTGAAAATGACAAAAAAAAAAAAAAAAAAAAAAAAAAAACAAAAACAAAAACCAAAAAACCCTTGTGGACTGTAAAATGTCCTACATTTTTTTCCAAATTAGGAAAATTAGTAGTGCTTGCTGGATAGAGCACTGAGCTCTAGGACTCCAGTCTCCCCTCAAGATACAACACCACTATGTGGGGACAGAGATGGGCCTGAGTGTTTGCTTCACCTCACAATTCTCTGACATGGCAGAAAGTGGGAAGCACAGGGCCAGAGCATCATTAGAAACAGATTAAAACTGTCTGGATGCTTCAGATCCCTGGCAGGCTTCTCTGGGAGGATTAGATTCAATCTTCTTGGCTGAAGGACTGTGTGCCCACTGACGTCTGGAATCATTCTGCTCAAATGAATCACTTCATAGAATCTCCTTCCCATGATAAAATAAAAACTGTATGAGTCTGGGAGCCAGGAGTGACCCAGCCTGCAGCAACATGATGTAGGGTTCCTGCTATCTGGGTGTGTCAGGGAATTCTGGACCTTCAGATAGGAGGCTGGCTGCCTGATTTTTCCTTGATGATAGAGTCCTTCTGCTGTACTCATCCTAAGCAAGGGGCCTTTCAGAAGGTCCTGGCAGACCTTTTGTCCTCTGGCATTTAGAAGGTTCTGTCTAAGACAGAGGGCCTGCCTCCTCTTCTGATTATAGGTTCCTTGCAGGGCTGCTGCAGGGTTTAGGACACACCTGACACACAGCTCTGATTCCTGGTCTCAGGCCCCCTGGCTCTTCTGTACTTTGTCATTGGCCGAGACAAAGTAGTTGTAGTTTATCACACAGGACATTAGTAGTCAGCTCTGTTCTGTGCTCAGGGAGGTGGGGGTGGAGCTGTGGGGGGGCCCTCAGCTGTGGGCCTATCATGCGCCAGGGACTTTCCTGAATAGGGACACTGGAAGAAGTCACTCCACAAAGCCCCTGAAGGGTAGAAAGCAAAAGGACAACTGCAGGCTACCTCTTGCGGAGCCTCATGAATTAGTTCTTGCAACAAAGATGAAGCAGGGCTGTCCACTCAAAAAGTTTTTCTGGAGACGTGTGTGTTGAGGCTGGGCAGGTAGCTCAGTAGGGAAAGTAAGCATGAGGACCTGAGTTCAGATCCTCAGTGCCTGCATAAAATGTCAGGTATGGAGGTGTTCCTCTGTAACTGTAACGCTGGGTAGAGGAGACAGCCCTTTCTTTATCTTGGGGACAAATGTGATTTACAGGGTCATTTGTACAGATCTGAGAGTCTAACAAATCCAACAGCAGTGTCACTTCCTGAACCTTATGCAACTTGTTCCTTTTGCTCAACTGTGCCTATGGTCTTCTGCCTTGGTCAGTATCTGCCTAGTCAGATCTAAGGCCTATTGAAGAGCTAAGGTATGCAGATATAAACAAGCTATGGAAGGGCACAGAGACCCCTCCCCCCTTTCATTCCAGTTCCTCATCCTTCCCACCCTCACCCAACCTCAACTCAGAGAAACTGGCCCACCATTTGCTTGGAGACAGGATCTCACTATTTAGCTCAGGCAAGCCTCAAATTTGAGACCCTCCCATCTCAGCTTTCCCAGCTCTGGGATTATAGGCGTGGTCCCACTGTTCTTAACTCCTGTTTTTTACCGAGCCCCAGGCACTGTTTTATACACATAGATAAATGCAGAGCACACTTGGTTCCCTCAGAGTGGCAGTGCAGGCCACATTCTGCGCACCTGTGTATGTGAATGCATGCTCTTCATAGCAGAGTAGAATGTTCTGCTGTGGCCATGAACTGTACCAGCAAGGCTCCTCATGGGCTGCCCAGCTGTCACTGGTCTTCCAGTCACAGCAGAAGTACACTCTTGGTGAAGTGTCTGTCTTCAGCATAGATACTCAAAGTATGGATACCACAGAGAGCCTTGTAGAAAATAAATGCAGGATTCCCATTAGTCTCTGGAGGGAAGAGGGGGTTCAGGGTCAGGCCATGTGCACATCTAGAGGGTTATGAAGCAAAGCTGAGATTGCCCCTGGCATGTGTCATTCAGTCAGCCTTTTCCCGATCACTCCCAATCCTTCTCTCTTCCTGAAGCCAGGGCCTCGGGAGCAGCTCCTGCTTGGTTCTCTGGGGCTGACCATATAAAGTATGGGGAGCAGCCAGGCCTGCTTCCTAATACGGTCACAAAAAGGAGATCCTTTTTGAGTACAACTACTCCAGCTGGGACCTGCTGGTGGCATTGGGCCTTGAGATGCCTGTCTGGAACATGGGAGGGGAGGGGATGCTGGGACCTCTGAACTCAAGCAAACATCAGGAGAGGGACTATCCTGAGCATGAGACCCTGGTTTCCTCCAGAGGATTTGTCAGTGAATCAGGCTCAGATCTGCCTGAGTCATAGATTAAGCACTTGCTGTGTATAAGGGCTCCAAAGGAGAAGTAAAAGCAACCAGGAAGTTGTTAGGTCTCAAACTCAGGACAAACGGCTAACTAGAGGTGTGTATTTAAGAGATGAAGGCCACTGCTGTCCCCAGGTTCTCCCAGCATCTCCTGTTAAAGAGTTGTCCTGGCTGTCATGTCCCACCCCTCACCCTAAACTCTCCAGCCCCTGAGCTTTGCTGCCCTTCCCCCAACTGCACTTCCCAAATGACCTACACATTTGGGCTACATGTCCTCTTTATCTCAGAGTCTCTGGTTTCTTGGTCTTCCGGCTTGCTCCTAGCCTATTGGCTTGTTGTTCCTCTCTCTTGCGTCCCATTACCACCCCTCTTGTGGTCCAGTTCAGTCTGGATCCTTCCAGATACCTCTGTCTGTTTTCTCCCTCATATCTAAAATAAACCTCAACCATGCCTAGCACACTAGTGTACAGTTTGGTCTGGGAGGGTAATGTTGGAAGCAGAGATGAAAATGGGTCTGGGAAGACCAGGGAAAAGAATTCCAGGCAGTGGGAACAGTGTATATGGAGATTCCAAGGTGCCATGTTTTCTAGTCTTATAAGACTAAGGACATTCAGGCATAATGACAGCATAATGACATTGATTGAGCACCTGATACATACAGCACAGAGTTAGATACTTCATGTGCGTCATTTTGGAGCAAAGTTGTGAGAATTGCTAGTATGTCTCCATGGTTTGCAGATCAAGATGACTGAAGCTCAGAAAGGTTGAGATTTGTCCAGGGTCTCCCAGCTAGAAGGTAAAAGGATGAGGGTTAAAATTCAAGTCCCCAGTATTCTTTTCTTTAGTTTCTTTTTTTATTTATTTATTATGTATACAACATTCTGCTTCCATGTATATCTGCACACCAGAAGAGGGCACCAGATCTCATAATGGATGGTTGTGAGCCACCACGTGGTTGCTGGGAATTGAACTCAGGACCTCTACAAGAGCAGTCAGCGCTCTTAACCTCTGAGCCATGTCTCCAGCCCAGTACCCAGTATTCTTAACTGCACCTGGGATTTAGACTAGGGTAGGAGATGGTGGTGGTGCCCCAGACATAAATGACATCATTCTGAAAGGGGTGTTGCCCCAGGGACCTAGGGGCCAGGACTGAGACCTGAAACTGGTAGAACTTGGCTGGTTTTCACTGAGCTAATTAATGATTGGCACTACTCTTTGGGAGCCTGGGTGTGTCAGGGATAGGAAGGAACAGGCCACATTTAAGGCACAGAAGGTATCCACTCAACACCTACTGTGTGCAGTTCAAGCTCTCTAGGACATACAGGTGAAGGCAAGTTGCCTCTTCCCTTGGGGAGGTTTCAACATAACCTTTGGCAGTCATTAGTAAGTATTTAATTAGCACCCGCTACATGCCAAGCCTTAGGTTGGGGCTGAGGAGGACAGACAGGAGCTCAGGTGTGTAAGGGTGACTGCAGCTGGCCTTTACAGGTCAGACAATGAGCTGGGAGACACCAGCAGATCTCCCACCAAGCTGGAGGCTGTCCTGGCCCCTACTGGCCTCCAAAGACGCCTCTTCCCTCTGACTGTTCCAGCTGCAGCTAGACCTACTTGCCCGCAGGCAGCCCACATGCTGCTTGCTGCCTCCCTCTCTGCCCCTGAACCTTCATTCTCCTGATCTGTATTGCCCTCACTGTCCTTTAAGACTCCAGGAGCTCCCATGGTCACCCCAGCAATCCTTAGGGCTTCTCCTGTTTTCCATTCCCCTCATTGGTGTGAGTCTCCGTCACTGCTCCACTCTCTCCTGACCTGGAAGTTCTTGGGTAGGGACAGATACTGCCGAGTAACAAAGCTTGGACCATTGGGGCCACTATAGCCCAGTAGTCCTTCTCCTCTCCTCGCCAGTCTTGCAGTTATGAGGAGCAGTAGGTATGATCTTGCTTTTTGATTTTTGTTGTTATTTCTCACATTTATTCCTTGTCATTTCCCCACCACCCTTTCATTTTTAAAGACAGGATCTTTTGTAGCCCAGGTTGACCTCAAAATTGCTTTGTAGCTGAGGATGACTTTGAACCCCTGATGCTCTTGAGTACTGGGATTACAGAAGTGCACCACCACACTTGGTTTACGTGGTTCTGGGGATAAAACCCAGGGCTTTGTGCATTCTAGGCAAGCACTCTACCCACTGCCCTGCCTCCAGCCTTTGTTCCCCTCACCTTTGAGCATTCTATAGTGTGTCACCTCCTCCCTGCTGTGGGTTAACACCGTGCTGCATTTTAGTGGCACGGTTTGTGATATGTGCCCATCTCACTTGTCATCATTTACATTCCTAAATTATTAAATTACTTCTAAGAATTCAATAAATAATAGCACCATTCAAACACATTGTCCCCCTACTAATATAAGGTTAGGACAGTCCTATTGTTCACACATTACTCCTTTCTCCTAGGCTTTTATGGTTGCATATTTCATTGCTGTTTTCATTATAAATTAAAAACTACATTGTCAGCTGGGTGCTGGTGGCGCATGTCTTTAATCCCAGCACTGGGGAAGCAGAGACAAGCAGATCTCTGTGAGTTCAAGGCTGACCTGGTCTACTGAGCAAGTTCCAGGACAGCCTCCAAAGCTACAAAGAAACCCTGTCTCGGAAAAGCAAACCAAACCAAACCAAAACAAAAACTACATTGTTATCAGTATTCTTTGTTTTGTTTTGTGTAGACCTGGCTGACCTGGAACTCACTCTGTAGATCAGGCTGGCCTTGAACTCAGAGATCTGCCTGCCTCTGCCTCCTGAGTGCTGGGATTAAAGGTGTGAGCCACCAACACCATTGACATTCTTTCAGTAGCATTCTATCTTTTAACCAAATAAAAAATAAAAATATGATTAAAAATGAAATTTGGGAGAGCTGGGAAGATGGCTTGGTTGGTAAAGTGCTTGCTGCTCAAGCGGTGAGCACCTGAGTTGAGTTCTCAGTGCCCATGGAAAAGAGCTGGGTGGAATGAGCCACACTCCTGTCACCCTGATGCTGGGGAGGCAGGGACAGGGGGATCCTTGGAGCTTATTGTCAGTCAGCCTAGTCCAATTGGTGAGTTCTACGTTCAGTGAGAGATGCCATCTTAAACAATAAAGAGGAGGGAACTGGAGAAGATGCCCTATGTTGACTTGTGGCCTCCACATGCCTGCACACATGTGCCTGTGTGCCCCATACATGAACATGTACACACAGACATACAAGTTGAGTTCCTGAGGCTTCGTGGTGGGTTGGGAGCTCAGAACTGGTTAAGACTCGGCCACAGGTGGCCTGGGAACCGAATCTTGCTTTTGTCTCCTTCACCACAGATCCTGCTGAGCTACTGAGGAGCCTCAGTTTCCCTACCATGGCATGAGGCTGCTGATTGTGGGTTTAGGAGGTCTCCCACCCATTCCAAATGTCCAGCACTCAGCCTGGTTTTCTTTTGCAGACCTACTCGGGCCTCTTCTGTGTGGTTGTCAACCCCTACAAGCACCTACCCATCTACTCAGAGAAGATTGTGGACATGTACAAGGGCAAGAAGAGGCATGAAATGCCCCCTCATATCTATGCTATTGCCGACACGGCCTACAGAAGCATGCTACAAGGTGAGTTTGCCAGGCCCAAGAGCCACCTCAGGGCTCAGTCTCAGTCCCCACCCCCACCTGCCTGAGTCCCCATCAGGAATGTGGAGTTTGGCAGGCAGTGCCTTGACTAAAAAAGGGCAAAAGCAAAAAGAACATTAGCCTGCAGCAAGGAGGGGCAGGGAACCCAGGGCTTGAGCAAATACGGGCATTGCCTGCCTTCTCTGGCTTCTGTCATCCCTGTGGCTGTTCCAGGATGCTGGCCCAGCCAGCAACCAGAGGAAGAAGAAGGAAACAGGCTGTAGATGAGCTGCATGGACCTGGATTGCTACCTGCAATTGTGTTCAGATGTCTTCTCCCCAGCCTTAATTTCCTTGTGTGTGAAAGGGCATAGTAGTCTCCATGTCTCTGTGAGACTTGCTGTGCTGGCCTTGCCAATGAAAGGCCTTTGCACACACATTCCAAGTTCAGGTGTGAATCCTTCGTCTGAAATATTTGGAACCAGAGTCATTGTAGATTTGGAGCTTTCCCGCCCCCCCGCCAGGTTTAGGAATATTTTCATATATGCATGATGAGAATTTGTGGGGCTGGGACTCAAATCTAAAAACATTATTCTTTCATATTTCATTTCTATATAGTTTCAAGGTAATTTTTGACAATATTTTAAACAATTGTGTGTATGAAGCACCACCTTGTGGAGTGGAATTTTTCCTTTGTGACTTCATATTTGGGCTAAAAAGTTTCAGATTTGGGAGCTTTGGGGTTTGGGATTCTCAACCCAGTTGACACTATTTTGAATGAGTGTTTCTGCTGGGGCAAAGTGGCAGATACATAGCAGAAGAATAGGGAAATGCTAATTTAAGAGTCCCCTGAAGTTAATTTGTATACCTGACTACAGTAAAATAGTTACCAACACAATGAAGATGTGAATAAAGTATTCTAGGAAGTTCCCTCATGACTTTTCCCTGCCAACACCTCTCCTAAGGTCACTGTTATTCTAATTTCTGAAAACATCAGTTTAGCCTTATTACTTAGCATTTTCCAGAGGCACTTCTCCCTCCCTATCCCCAGATCTCCTCAGAAGAGGCAAAACAACGTATCAGTTAGTTACAACAAGAATCCTCAATACAATGTATCAGTTACAGCATGAATTCTAGGGCGGAACTGTCTGTGCTCCCAGGCACCTGGCATGGGGGTGTCACTTCTGTGTGACCTTGGACAAGCCAATAAATGTCCTGTACCTCTGCTTTTCTCTGTAAAAAGACATCAACAAGTAGTCCTGACCAGTGTGGTGGCCTAAGCCTGCAATCCTACCACTTAGGAGTCTGAAGCAGGATGATTGCTAGATTGAGACTGTCTTAGGCTACCCAGTGAATTTGAGGTCAGCCAGGGCTACAAAATGAGATCCTGTCTCAAAGTCAATCAGTCAGTCAATGCACCCATCCAAACAGAGAGGGCTGACACGAGAATTAAATGAGCTCTTACATCTTACATCAAAACAAGTCTGGTACTTGATCAACAAAAACCATTTCTAAGCATAAGGCACTTCAGGCCAAACATCCCTAATTCTAAAATCCACAGTCTAAAATGCTTCAAGATTTGATATCATTTTATTGCAAATCCTAGGAAGTGAGAATTCTGGGCCATGAAGTTTTGTTTATGAGCAAAATTATTTGAAACACTACATGGGTCAGGTATAATGAATGGTGTGTGTGGGATCACCATTACAACAGTGGGGAGGCAGAGGCAGGCAGAGCTCTGTGACTTCCAGGCCAGCCTGGTCAATAGAAAGAGCTGCAGGTCACCCAGGACTACACAGAGAGATCCTGCCTACAAACAAGCAAACACACACAACAATGAAATGATCTTCAGACAGGCTGGAGAGATGGCTCAGCTATTAAGAACATATCCTACTCTTCCGGAGAACTTAAGTTTGGTTTCTAGCACCCAGATTAGGCAGCTCACAAATTCTGGGAATTCTAGCTCCAAGGGATTCAGCACCCTTCTGGTCTCTGTGAGCACCTGTGCTCATGTGGACACCACTCCCCCCACCCCTCCATTAAAGAAACAAAATCTTTATAAATTCAGATAATATCTAGAAGACATATGTGAGACTTGTTTCCCATCTTAATGCTACCTCATGAATCTGAAAATATTCTCAAACCCAGAGCTATCTGGAATCTAAACGCTCTAGTCCTAAGCCTTTCTTATATAGGATATTAGGAGTGATTCATGGACAGGAACACAATATGGGGAGTGTTGGTGCAGATTAGTAGCTAAGAGACCACAGTTAACACAAGCAGGTGTAACAACCAGGTAAGGGCCACGTGGAACCGGCACAATCAAGGGGACTCCGGTCTGAGTTGAGAATTGACAAGAGCTCTGCAGGCAGTCCCTGAGGGCAGGAATCCAAGTGTGCCTAGAAGATGGAGCTACCAGGCAGAAGTGCCCCAGGCTACCAACAGCATGCCAGAGCTCAATTGTAATAGGAACTTCATCTGTCCAGCCAGGAGCCTGCCATTTCTCCAAAGACCAGCAGGGGGAGCCCTGCAAGGTGGGTCTGGATGATGCTACCCAAAGTGGGAAAACACCAGCTAGGTCTTTGAGTTAGAATTTGGTCTGTGTTGTATTATTGTGTCTGTGGTTCCCTGCATGGAAGCATATTTGGAAAGCAGCTCAGACACCTCTTTGGTGAACTGTACAAAGCTCTGGTGTTCATATAATTGGGCATGCTTTTGTTCAGAAGTGACTCAGTAGCTAACTGAGCAGTTTAGCCTTATTAATGTATGAATCACATAATAGGAAGCTACAGGCTGATGTAGGTTTCCGGGCTGTTTGGTTCAGCGGCCTCAAATCAGACTTCTTTGCCATTTTCTTGGTTGCTTCTTTACGGTCACATGATGGCAGCTATAGATCTAGGCATGGCATTTTGTGTGTGTGTGGGGGGGGGGTTGCTTGCTTGTTTGGTTTTTTGAGACAGTTTCTCTGTGTAGCATCTCTGGCTATCGTGGAACTTGTTTTGTAGACCAGGCTTGTCTCTTATTCACAGAGATCCACCTGCCTCTGCCTTTTGAGTGCTGGGATTAAAGGTGTGTGCTACCACACCGGGCCTACTCCACTACAATTTAAGATCAATTTTCACCCACAAGGGGCATAATGAGCACTGAGCTGTTCCTTAATTGTGCCCCTTTGTGTCCTACTCTTACTGTATGGGCCTGTCCCCCTCTTAGGCTCCCATAAGGGAAGGTCCTGGTGTCTTACTCCTCTCCCGTTATACCCTACATTCTGATCTCTGTACTTACTAGCTGAACTCTTGCCCTTAATGGCCTCAGGCTCTGGATCTGGACTGTAGGCTCTTCATCCTTGGGGTCAGGTCTGCCCTGTTAGTAAATCTTTGGCTTCTCTGCTCTTGGTGGAATCAGGAGGTGACAATGGGAATTCCTGTGTGCAGAGTCATCATGATATCTGGTTTCACGGTGGTGGGGATTTTTTCCCAAAGAATTGTTTTGTTTAAAGAGGTTGCGATTTTATTGTACATTTTCATCCTTCAAAGCCCCCACAAAATTTCCTAAAGGAAGAGGCATAAAGGAACTCTCATAAAACAATGAGTGAGAATCATTGAAAATGAAAGAAAAAGGGTGCTGCAGAATCTGCAAAGTCAAAATGCTGGACCTTTGTCAAGCAGTGCTGGTCGCCATGCTGTCCACGCCAGGTATCCAAAGCATGAAAGAAGACGGGGGTTGTACATGCTGCAACAACTTTGAGTGACATCCCTCAGGTGCCACCCATGTCTCCTTTGAGACAGGGTCTCTCACTGACCTGGAACTCACCAATTAGGGTAGGTTGGCTGGTCAGGGAGCCCCAGAGATGTTTGTCTGTGTGTCCCAGTACTAGCTTTAATCTCTCTCTTACTCCAAATCTCCTCCCTCCCATATAATGGAGGGCCTTGTCTGCATGCCAGTCCCTCAGCTGGGAAAGAGGCACTGACTTATTCATCACTGTTTTCTGGGGTTTAGGGAGGTCCATGAAACATATTTTCCTTGAATAATAGAAGAAATAAAAAAAGAATCCAGTAGGGGCAGAATGGGTGGATAGGTTTTTGTTTGTTTGTTTGTTTGTTTTAGAGAGGCTGAGGACCTAGAAGGGTGGTTTACTGACAGGACAGGATATGAACAGAGGAAGTCTAGAAGAGATGTTGGGGACTGGTGAGAGCCTAGATGTTGCAGTTCCTAACATTCTTTCCTGAAAGGAAGCCAAGCTCTTTGAGAGAGGAACAAATGGAACAAACATTAAAAATATATTTTAGGGGACACTAAAGAGATGGCTTACAGATGGCTTGGCAGTTAAAGTGCTTGCTTTTCAGCCAAGAGGACCAAAGTCCAGATCCCTAAAACTCATGTGAATGCCAGGGGGCATGCCAGGTCTCCTGTAATTCTGACCCCAGAAGGTAGAAACCATGATGGATCTTCAGCGACACTAGCCATATCAATGAAGCTAGGTTTGATTCACTGAAGCTAGCCTCAATGAATCAGGTGGGAGGGTGATAAGAGCATGGAGAATTCCTGGCATTAACCTCAGGCTTCCACTCACATGTTCATGAACACTCATGTCTGTGCCCATCTTCAAACAAGCATGCATACACACACACGAAAATGCTTATCTTGCATATATGCAAATGAGGTCACATTCCCTTTTTAAATTACCCTGTGCCTGTTGGTTTGTTTGGGGAAGTATAATATGTTCAGGTTCAGAGGCCACCCGACTTTGACTCTTAGCTCACCTCCTTAGAGACAGTTGTGGATTCTAATTTTTTAGACATTCATGGGATTTTTTTTTTGTTGGTTTTGTTTGTTTGTATGTGTAAGAGCACACATGTTGAATTTCTCCCCCACTATTTTCCCTGCAAAGAATCACATATACCCTTGTCTAGTATACATTTTACTAGAATGTTCTATGTCTGTGCATATAAGGATTTCTTACTATCTTTTAAAAAATCAGTTTCTGTTTTCATTAAAAGCATACAG